AGCAATACAGCTGCAATGATAACGCGGCGACGCGCGTTACGCGCGTTTCTCTTTCCACAGCAATACCTTCACCCCGGAATGGCGATTAGAAAAAAAGAGAGTAGGTCGAGTATCCCTTACTTTTCTTCAGCTCTACCACTCTCGTATGACCGATATGAACAGTGTTCGCTTGCTGAAGTGCTGATAAGATCGGTCGATTTTGCAGCGATGACGTGCCAGGCTGACTTCTTGTGAACGGATCGTCTGCAAACGAGGATGGTGGTCGAGCCACGGTCAACGATGGCTCAGCACGTGATTGTAACTCGCTCAGATAGGCTCTGGCACGGACAATCGACATCTGAAAAGCAGCCAAGGTCAGGCTTGATTTGGAAGATGTCCCTGACAAAAAACGATGATTGGAAAAGCCATCATACCTGATAAACCGGTCGGTAGTCTATTTCAACAATATTGTCACCAACGGCTAGCCGACCATCCATTCCAACCCGACCATCAGGTTCTATTCGCAAAATTTGTACGGCAGATAGACGTCCACTTGTCGACGCTGGATCGTCATGCACACCCGTCACCTGAAGGATCCCAACTACAGCTCAGGAAGGGCTAGAACTTTGGCAGTATCAATGCTCACCTCTATCCCCATAGGAACTGATTCATCACTCGGGAATACAATCACAGTATTTTCTGGATCCAAAGCCGGTTTAAGATAAGCCCGTTGTCGACTCCGTTGTGTTGCCATTGGCGACGCATGACTCGCTTCACGAGCATCTTCCAGCCGCTCCTTAACAAACGAAATCATTCAAATCCACGAAGCCGTCGTTTGAACAAACATTCTGATGGTCTCTTTCAATCGCATAACCTAGCATGTTAGGAAACTTTGAAAACATTATGCCACACGACATCAGTTGGGATGTAGAAGCTTTTTACTGTAGCAGAAAATTTCGGAGCCAAGGCGAAATAATGATGTGCCAGTAATGGCTAGTAAACTCGATGTGCTAGTAAATTCGAATTAGGGGACCGTGCAGCTCTACAAGCTTAGAAATACGACTTCTCCCAGAAGTTCCTCCTCTGTTACGATCCGCTTCTGTCCAGCTTCCAACGCTTTTTTTTCAGATACTGTTGTCAAGCGGGAGGGCGGGGGATGAGGGGATAAACAGTAAACGTGAAACGAGAAAAACCGAGAAAGTCAATGCCCAATAATCTTCCTCTCAGCGACCAAATGCGACCATGTCGCTGGGGATCCCAAAGCACGACGTGCCCTGCTCGGGCCTCCTAGCATAGCCGTCCATTACCTTCATCTACATCCTCGAGCACCACACCTCTAGTAATTACTCTGAAGGATTATCCTCGGCTTACCCAAGATGAATACCCCGGCATAGGACAATGGCAATGCCTCACAGGTTAATCCTAATGAACCTACACGCAGGATTTCTCCACCGTCACCTGTCTGGTCCTGAATTAGTCCTAACAGTAGGAACATCAGGCAACTTATGTACTACTCACGGAGCTTGTCTTCTTCTATCTACTCTGCCCACGATCTTATGTTTTTTGAAGCTCGCGAAACCCATGCGCTTAGATACGTAGTTTAGAACATCAGAGTTGCGAAGAGGGCGCCAAAAAGGCTTCGTAATCGCGTACGGTAAGCAGCTTAGGCTGCGTTTATACTTTGCGGCAGCGTAGCGTAGCGTAGCGCTTCCAGCGTACGCCAGCGGCAGTGTCGGGGAAAGGATAGATATCGATCTAGCGTTCCCAGCGTCACCAGCGTACGCTGCGTACGCTGGAAGCGCTACGCTACGCTGCCGCAAAGTATAAACGCAGCCTTAAGCTCCAGGGATTTAACTGATCCAAAGCGACATCGTCTGCTAAGTGCCAAGTCAACTTCGTTGCATACTAGAACACGCAAAGTTAGGAGATATACTGCTAGTTTGAGCGCTATACAGCGACTCAGCCTTCCCAAACTACACCACTTTTGACACCAGTCTATACTCAGACCAGGACAAAGTGCAGCATCGAGATGGAAGGAATGAAGAAATCAGACGACCTCCTAGAAGTTCTCCCTCTTGTACGACCCGTTTCCTCATTCTACCTACCGCTCTCACGAGATTTCTCAGCTTTCTACCACTTCTCTCCGATTTCAAAAGAAAAAAAGTAAAGGGAAACGCCGCGAAAGTCAACAACAGAAAAATTGGCTCGGTAGAATTTCCGTCAAGACCAGGTGCTAATCCTCAACAACCTAGCCTTTCCCACCTTCCCAAATTATCAAGGACGACCCCTGATGGGATTCTCACATTGA